ACGCTGTCTCGCATGTCCTGGACTTAGAATATTATATACTGTCATGATCTCGGCACAAACATTTAAGAACAAGGCAATTTTGGCATCGCAGCCCCCCCCCCCACAATAATTTCAAAAATGAATGATTGGAACTCCATATTCTGTTTGCGCACTGTCGCACCGTATCCTACAACATATGTTTGAAGTCTGCATTCGCCTTGGTGATTGCGATCGGATCCTCGGACGGATGCGACATTCTCATACACTGGGAAGTACTGCCACTCCATACCATCCTTCATTGTAGTCTGGAGATGCTCAACATTCAAGGTATTTTGGGGTCCGGGGACTTGTCGTACAGAACTATACGTTTTACGGCAGTCCCTTGGAACGCCACTACAATTCTATGACAAGTTATCTTGCAACATTCCCCAAACATTCAGGTTCCAAGCGGGAATAATTATGGGGATTGCCGAAGTTCTGCCACCTGAACATGACCGGACGTCCGGCTGGTCTTATATTGCAAGAGAGCAGGAACCCTGCGTGGGATGGAACGATGGTACCCAACCCGGAACCCTACCTGCTACACATGCAGGACTTGAGGCGTTATACGTTATAACTCCCGAAATCCCAAACCCCTAAACCCATCCAGATTATTGAGCCCATCCTAAGCTCTGAAAATCTAGAACAATCCCATGCAATCTATAGCTGCGAACACGTTAGGCTCTCGAAGGGGTTTAGCACGTCTTGCTTTTTCCTACCCGCACAGCCACAAATCTGCTGGATCTAGGGACCTCATTTTACATGAGACAAGCAATGAAGTGTTCCAGCCTCAATTGTTGTTTTGATCACTGAGTCTTCTGGCCCAAGCCAGGAGAACAACTGGGCCACAACGCTTCAGGGCTTAGTTCGGCAGTGCAAAAGCTGCCAAAGAGAGAAGGAGAGAGAGCATCGGACTCAGGCGGCAGCCTTGCCCCACTGGGTATCCGTACTTGGAAGGGAATTACATACACATGCGTGATTTTGTGTGGGCGAAAGACCAGCGTTTCAGCTGTGTGCTGGCCTGACAGATGCAATTGGTGCCGATCAGCTGTGTGAAGTGTACATCTGCCAGCCGATGTGAGACCATGCCGGTTCAGATTGAACCCTGCCCCAATCGTCCCCCCCTGTCAACCCCCCTCCCACCCCTCAAAAATGCCGACGACGAGTACTACTTCTACTACTGCTACTCCTATTCTTACTGCGGCTGCTGCTGCTACTGCTGCTGCTGCCGCTCCTACTACTACTACTACTACTACTAGGCTAGCGCGCCTCAGGGCGCCTGGTCGTTTTGCTGCGGCTGAACGTCCGGACATTGGTGTTTTGCGTCATTTCCGGTAGAGGCCGAAAATGTAACTTAAAAAAAACTACTCGCGGGCAAGGGAAAGGAAGGTTTCAGGGTTTGGAAGCGATGTGTTGCTGTATGCCGGTCCCTGTTCTAAAGGTCAAGTCTGCAGCCCGTAGAGAAACAAAAACACTGTAAATACCAGTGTTTTGGGCATGGTCGCCAAAGGCAAGGACGCTTGTGAATGCATTTCTTGTTCCACATCCTTATGCAGTATGTTGTACAAAGTGGCGGAAATGCTGTAAATACCAGTGTTTTGGGCGTAAACACCAGTGTTTTGGGCATGGTCGCAAAAGGCAGGGACGCTTGTGACAACGTGTCTTGTTCCACAACCTTGCGCGGTATGTTGTACAAACTGGCGAAAACGCTGTAAATACCAGTGTTTTGGGCATGGATGCAATATGAATGATGTTCTTATCCCCCCCCCCCCAACCCCCCCACCCCCCCACCCCCCCACCCCCCCACCCCCCCCCACCCACCCCCCCCACCTTCCCCAAGGCCCCCCCCCCCCAACAATAGCAAAAAACGCACCAAAACGCACCAAACTACCAGGCGCCTGGGGGCGCGCTTTGCTACTACTACTACTACTACTACTACTACTACTACTACTACTACTACTACTACTACTACTACTACTACTACTACTAATACTACTACTACTACTACTACTACTAATACTACTACTACTACTACTACTACTACTACTACTACTACTACTACTACTACTACTACTACTACTACTACTACTACTACTACTACTACTACTACTACTACTACTACTACTACTACTACTACTACTACTACTACTACTACTACTACTACTGCTACTGCTACTGCTACTGCTACTGCTACTGCTACTGCTACTCCTACTACTACTACTACTACTACTACTTCTACAACTACTACTACTACTACTACTACTACTACTCCTCCTGCTGCTGCTGCTACTGCTACTGCTACTGCTACGACGACGACGACTACTACTTCTACTACCACCACTCACTACTGCCTATGTAACAGCTTATGCGCACGGGCCGCTCAAGACATCTTGTTGGGATTGAACCTGAACCTCGTGGCCTCCGGAAGTACAGAGACGCGGCACGTTGTCCGCTACTGGCTGGGTTCCGATGTCGCACAAGGAACTGCCCAAATGTGCTACCCAAAAAGAGTCTAAAGTATCGAATGTCGGCCCTTGCTGTTGGGTTCTTATACACCTCTCATATTCTATGTGCCTTTGAAGGTTCACATGTTCTTTCCGAGAGCAGCCTAGGCCCATGAAAGGGAGCCACACTTGCAACCTTAGAGGGGTAGAGCTTCAGGTTTCGGCACAGTACCCAACCATGACGAGATTAACTTCCACCAGCTCTTTGATGTAGTTGAACAGTCGACCCCGACACCCCAAACCCAAACCCTACACCCTAAACCCCATTCCTGTCTTTCCAGTTCCTGGTGCAAGATTCCAGCCTCCCGGAGCTCCCGCAGTGGAGCAGATGTGGCTGTGCACAAACTTGGCGGCTGCTTGGTGTCTGTGTCTAGGGCTTCGTGAATTTTTTCGTGCATTTTGGTGCATTCAAGGTTGATAGGGCTTAGGGGGCCTGTTGCGGGCTTGGGGCTTAGCAGCTGAGATTGCTGCCATCTTTCCAAACAACGTCTCCCCAAGTCGACGCAAAGCCGTGCGGCGAACGCTGGCCTGTAACAACCTCCGCTCAAGTTCTCGTGCTCGACCAGAAGGTTTAGGGTTTGGGAAGTAGGGTTCTGCCAGTGGAACGGGTGACAGGCTCTGATGTCGCCGCCCATGAAGATTCAACTACATTCGCAACATGCGGAACGGTATTTCCACCTTGCTGATGGAAATCGCAGGCTTGAGCGCCTGTGCAGCACGCACCTGTGCAGCATGCTGCTGTGCAGTACGCACCAGCTGGGTGCTTTGGGAACATGGACCCGATAGCTGGAAAGCAACATGACGGGAAGGACAGCCGGTCAAATATTTCGGTAAGAGGAGAAGCTATCGAGTTCACCGATCTTCTCGGTTGTGAATTTCGAATTTGGTAACAACCATGCATGCAGACAGTTGCAGCCCTGGCATGTCCACCGGCAAACGAGGAAGGCACTATTGCACTGCTCAGTTGCCCTGATCCACGCCCAGAAGATCTGCTGAGAAGTTCACGTCCTGGACTTTGCTGAACCCTTTGCACGAAACTAGGGGTTAACCCATTGCATACTATAGTTAGGGTTTATGATTGGAAGTTCATGCCGCCTCAAAACGGTCACAAAGATCACTTCCTCAGACAACTTTACTAAACCCTAAACCCTAAACCCTAAACCCTAAACCCTAAACCCTAAACCCTAAACCCTAAACTTTGCCCTAAACCCTAAAAGCCAGCGAGGCCCCCACACACCCCCCCGCGAGTGGCCTCCGCCGAGTTGACAGTGCTGCTGCCTAGGTTGGCCCTCTTGGCCAAGCTTAGGGTTTAGGGTTTAGGGTTTAGGGTTTTTTGCCACCCGCCTAGCAGACCCCCTCTGGGATCACTCCGCAGGGAACAATCGTGATCTCTCGTATGTGCCCTCAGCAAAAAGGGCCCCGAGGCATCCCCATCACCATCTCCCCACAACAGCAAAGACTAGGTTCACAGCATTCACATCAAGGTGGGGGTGCATCCAGGCCGGGTTCTTAGGGTTTAGGGTTTAGGGTTTAGGGTTTAGGGCTTAGGGCTGTACAGGGCTTATAGGGTCTGGGGCTTAGGCTTTTGTGGGGCTTCTGGGGTGTAGATGACAAGGGTTGAGAGGGTTCTGGAGGGCTCACATTCAACGCAATAATGGGAAAGAGAAACGAATCCCAAGGTTCTGCCCAATTGCCCTGCTGTTGGAACACGGGGCGCCTGCTTGCGTCGACGTTCTGCATCACGGCCTAGGTTGCCCAGAAACCTAAGAACTGGCGTCCTGAACCCTAAACACTAACGATTAATAACGGGAAATAAGGGCGCTTTATGTTTAGGTCTAGGTTTAGGGTGCTACTAGGCGTCCTAGCGACTGAGTCATTGAAGTGCTCCAGGAGCTCCTCCTGGCTCTGCAAGCGAGCGAAGCTGACTGCCGGCAGTGTCGACGGGCTGATACGGCCCTTCTTCAGGTAGGCTTGCCAGAATGGCGTCATACTCATACTCAGGCAAAGCACCAGCACGTCGCTAGGCTTTTTGAACTTGATGAAGGCAAGGCCACAGTGTTTGCCAAGCTTGTTGAAAGGCATGTAGAAGAAGGTGTAGCTGTCTGACAAGCCGCAAGTTTCCAGCAGCTCCACAAATGCATCTCGGCTGCAGGCCCCGGGAATGTTCCTCACCATCACAGTCGTGCGCATGTCCTCGCCGGACCGGATCTTGTCAGCCATGATGTCGAACTTGTGCCGGTCCTCCATTCCCATCTTTTGGTGTGCAGGCTTGCCGCATCCTTGACGTTTAGTGCTGCCCTTTGACAAAGGTGTGGCCGGAGCGCGACGCTCCTTGCATGGCAGTGGATCTGATGAGGCGCTGGCAATCTCCGGTACCCTCTCAGCCGATGCACGGCGCGGCTCAGGACACTTGCTGCTCTGATCTTCAAGGCCTTGTGTAGCAGCCTGGCTCACCAGGTACCGAGGCCGGCTGGCCGAGGTCGACATCGTGACTTGCTGAGCTGCACGCATGTCGAAGAACTCCACGGCGAAATCCCCGTCAAACAGCGAAACGCCAGCAATCTCTCCATAACTGCCGAGCTGAGCAACTTGGCGCCGGAGACCGGGAGTGGCCTTCGGCAAAATGCTGACTGCACGAAAGTCGTGCGCGGCCGGAGGGAAAGGCTCGGCCAGCACGCCAAAGTGCTCCAGAACCTTCTGAGCATCCCTCACGTCGAAAAAGGTCACAATTACCATGCTGGCGACCGTGATGTCTAGCCGGGCGATGTCGCCAAACCTCGAGAAGAGCGGGGCCGCCTCGACAAGACTCTTGGGACAGTCTGCCTTGAAGCGAACTGCCACTGTGTTAGAGTCAAGCGACATGACAAAGGCACGAGGAGAGACGTGCTTGCCCTAACAGACCCTGAACAGGCCCTGAGCCACGATAGTTCCCGGGACAGCTCTGGTGTTTGGCTTGGCTGAGACAGAACAAAAAGACTGTTCGCACCTGTCCCCAGATTGGCCCAATGCTTGGAAATTTCTGTTGCGTTTTCAAGCAGGCACACGGGACTCTCCAAACCATGGGTTCTTCTTTTTGCTGGCGCGTGCAATATGCAGAGCTTTGTCTGCAACATGTCAGCCAGGTAAGCTCTCCTTGGTGGTTGAAGAGTTGCAAGCACTATCCATTCACACAAACCTGCACTAGGGCGGGGGCATACATTGACTGTGCTGCGGGGGCTGGGATGAGCTCCTGTGAACACATGGCATGACGGTGCGCTTTTCCACTTGAAACCTCTCAACAGCGTGCCTCCCATCGCCTCCCTGTAATGCTGCTGCAGGGCAGATGCTGCACTACCACTTAATTACCCAACTGCACAGGAAGACCTACGCAAGGCTCTCCTGAAAGCGATTGAAATCCACAACGAGCGTGCCAGCTGTGTCACCTGTATGTTGGGGTAGCAGCTACCATCGCTCCTTTACATGGGTTGCTTCAAAGGTATGCCATAGTCACAGGACAGCATCGCATCGTTAAATGAAGCCAGGGCGACGCAGCACACAAGGCGCGAATGCACAGTCAAACAGCACGTCCTGACCGTCAAGTTCTTCATGTTATTCAGAAAAATGTACACAGGCCCACGTACGTACGCACACACACACACACATTTTTATGTATGGTCACCCCCCCCCCTCTCCCGCAAAGATCTACACCCGCCTTGTCTACAATACTATTCTGCTTGCTTCCATGTACCTGTTGACAGCACTGTAAATATCGTTAAATCGTACTCGCTTAGCGATGTGCGACTGCGTTCTAGAACACGTCATACTTATAATGTTTATATAAATCTGCAACCGAATTTCGCTAAACAGTAACATGAACTTATTTACTCCCAAGCAAAAAAACCTGGAAGGAAAGGCATTGTTACCGTTAGTACCTTAAACACCTCGTCTGTTTTGTGTGTTTGCTGCTGTTTTAGTAGACGACAAATATTGTGAAAAAACTTTCATATTGTCATGAAACCAACATTCTCACTTCTGTACGTACGGCTCCCTTTCTCTCATACAACAACAACTTCTACAATTCCTACTACTACTGCAACGATAACAATACTATTCGTGCTACTATATATATTTCTACATGGTTTCACGGGAAAATTAGTCCGCAGTGTCTTGGGGGCTTCTGCCGAATCCAAGTCTTGCTTACCGGAGGGGCTGCGGCGTGTGTCTCAGTGGCTGTCCTTCATTGCTCCCCCAAAGCAAGCTGAAGACATGAATTTCTGCTTTATCGACAAAACCAGCACGTACTGAGTATGTATTGTCCGCGATGCGTGTTTGGCTAGTAACTGAATTGCATGGAAAAGCGCTATTTCTTTAGAAAAGAACGCATTGCTCAGCAAACCGCATTATGTGTATCGAAACACCTGAAAACCCAGAAGTCCAAACTTTACCAGGGATTCTTCCGAGTTCTTGGGATTCTCTACGTTTGTGAACTTCCGAGTACTATGATCTTCATGAGGTAACTAAACGTTTCTAGGAGAATTATGCACTTTTAATCTTGTATGTGTGAGTTATGTGTTTCAGACATAACATATACTATACACGTGGCATTCAGACTAGAACATCATGAAACTGCATGTATTAAACACCAAAAATTTAGTACATGTTCGTTATACTCAAGTCGTCTTTGTTTAAGAATTCTGCTTCTCTGGCAGAACTATGTCTTTTAAGCTTGTCTATTCGAATCGTGCGCGTCAGACATAAGATACATTTCTCTATTTATAATATACAAGTGGTATTTAATTCGTACGGAGTAGTTAAACATTTTGAAATGAAAGCTGCTTCTATTACAATCACAACTTGAATCCTTCAAATTCAAGACCCTCAAGACGTTCAAGATGAAAGCAGGTGGCTTACCGCTTTTCATTGCGTTGGAAACCCCATAAAGCATGGATTCTCGGTTGGGGGGGCTACCACATGTATGTATATGTATGTATATGAATACATGTAGCCATTTACGTATAATTATCGCAGCAACATATCAGGCTATGTACTAGTTAACTTTGCGATACAGACACTGTTTCAGAGCTACTGCAAGATCTCTGAAGCGGGAATGGCTCAATGGTGGCCTCAAGTCTTAACCATGCCGTTTCCAAGGCGATACACATGATGGGCTTTTAGAGGGATAGTGGGGAAAACATGGTGATTTCTGCGGGTTCTGGTTGAGATGTTGACGTATCATGATCTAACTTAGGGATGGCAAGATATACAGAGAATCCCCACCCAATGTGATTAGAAACTAATTGACTTTTCGGAGCACTCCATTCAAGCCCCGGGTCAGAAGATCGAAAACCTGCTATGTCAGGTAATTAAGCCCTAAACCCGGCCCTAAACTCTAAACCGAAGCCGCGTCTGGGGACTCTAGGTCCTAGGTGCAGCGCTTCGTGGGGCTCGGGATTCTCCGCGACACGCACATGTTCGGACCCGGCCCAAGCGGTCGACTCGGAGGTATTTGGTAAACAAAAACACGATGCCAAATAGGCATGTAGATACCATACACCTACACTGACAGAGGTCTACACATCCATGTACATGCGTTCAGACACCAAATCCGAAGATAAGGAGCGCGGCACTCGAACATAAAAAACTACAAGGAGGGGGCGCATGCGACGCGTAGATGCCGCAGATTCTGAGCCCAAGCACGGCTTCTCCGGCCTCCAGCGCGAAGTTGTAGGACATGCGTCCCTGTGTACACGCAGATGTAATGGGCTCAAGCCCCTCCACCAAGGCGAGGACCTGACATGTCTGCATTAAAATTGGAGGTGACCCTGTTTTTTGAACACTTGTGGCTCACTGATCTTGCCTCGGCCTGACATCGGCTTAGATGATCCTCTCGCTTGAACTCTTCAACACGAGTCGCATGACAGCATGGAGGGCCATGGACTTGTGCCACCCCGCCTCGATTTGATACTTTGTCAAAGACCACGCCTTGCCGGCAGAGGAGCCTTGCCACGTGCCAGTGAGCTTTCGCAGACGGACGGGGCTCAGCTCCATGGTTCCGGGGAAGTGCTCGCAGAGTCTCTGCAACACACAAGCCGATGGGACCGTGCGCCCAGCTGGAAGCATTGTGGTCAGGGTGGCATCCCGGACCTCCCAAGAAACAGCTGCTGAAAAGACGGTGCCTTTCATCTTTGCTCTGCTGGCACATGCACCACCTTACACTATGCTGATCTATGCTGTCTTCCCTCTTTTTGCAGCCTGCCCCTTCGTGACCTGCCAAGCAGGACCCGCAGCCCTGCGACCTAGCAAAACCCTTCTGCACCGCCTGGAGAAGCGGCTCTTTTTGCCTGGAACAACGTCGTAGCAATGCACAATTCCACCCTTGCTTCCAGACTGCGAGTGCCTCTGGGCACAACGGACTCCACTGATCAATTTCATGAATGATGAGGTTCGGCAGGGCTAGATGCAAGAAGCCTCAGACGGCATGTCTGCAGGAGACTCTGCGCTTGGGGATTCCAGGAATTCTTGGTAGTCTGAGGTCAGGGCTGCCCACTGTATCATCTGGCTGCACCAGGCGCATGCGCCGGTTCTCGAAGTTGGTCAAGGCACCTGCGCAGGCGTCTCATCGTTATTCCATGAATTGCTTCTTCCTGCTGTCTCTCTCTTCACTGTTGTTTTTCCCTCCTGAGTATTCGTCCTTCCGTTTGCGGCATCGCGAGAACATGCCGATTCTACAACAACATAGTATCTCGGAGAAAATGTGATTGCATCTCCTTCTGCTTCTCGGTGCCTCAGCCCCGGGTCCCTTGTTCTCTCGTTCTGAAAATGAGCCCGACTCGAAGGCTCTTTTCCCTTTGCTTCCGCTTGCTTGCTTTCCGGCTCGTCTCATGTGACATGTGTGACGACTCTGCCTCTAGGAGCAACACCTCGCAACTCCAAGCGTCTTTCATCCGTCGTTGGCATTTCGCGCAGCCGCTATCAATCAATCTCATCGAAGCCTGCAGCATTTACATTTACATAATGTGCCGGTGCAGTGAGAATCGCACCGGCAGTGCCGAGTGTCAAGTCACCCGAGCAGGTTGGCATCAACCCTGTGCTCAGTTCGGAAGATATGAACACATCACGGTTGAAGATCCAAGATGGCACTCGAGCGACGATTCCAGCCTTTGTTCAACGCATGCACCTACTTTGTCGGTCACACTTTTTGCGTCCAACCGCGCAGAGCGATGAATTCTGAATATGGCCCACTTGGTTACTGGATGGCCAATCAGGGCAAGCAGACTTCACACGCTCCGCAACTTAATTCCGGTTCGCACACGGATTGATCAAGTCCCAGAGCAAAATACAGCTGTCTCTGGACTATGCCAGGTGGTTTTAGCAAACCAACCTCACAATCCCTGCAGTTAACGCATCACTCCGTGGCTGTTCCTGTTCAAGCACAGGCCTGCACTGGCTCTGATGGCTCTGATGGCTCTGATCAGTGCCTTCAACAGCCTTCAACCTATCGAAGCTGGAGGCAAGTTTTGGCGATTCATCAAGGGCTGAGACACCTGACACACAACAACGCTACGGTTGAACTCACTTGGAGAATACGGAGCATAAACCTTAATAGCCCCCATATTGGGTCGGAGAAGTGTCTTCGAATTGCTGCAGCCGCAAACATCCCACGTCGGACCTGAGATTGTCTACTTTTGCCACGCAGTCAGTGCAGTTTTTGAACCCAGGCGTAAACTTGCAAACAGATAAGTGCCCGGCACCACAACTCTCACCAGGAGCTTTCTGTCAGGGCTGAGGCCAGAGCTGATCAACTCCTCGTGTTCGGGAACTCTTTCTAAACCCTCCTAGCCCGCGAAGCCCTGGCGGTCGCTGCGAGCAAGAAAACCTTAAACTTGAAGTCCCCCAAAACCGTCCTTGAAACGGTGGCATGTAATGGCTTCGTGTGAGCCCAGGAGGGCTCCACCAGGGGTCAGCTCCTTGAAACCATAGCAGTCGCATTTTTGTTTGCTGAGGGTCCACAGTTAGGGCAAATTTTAGCAGCGTCATGCAGTCATTGGCATGCTAGCTCGGCAGCGCAAAACAGGCAAAGCGGGCTTCAGTGTCGGTTTCCTGTGCTGGGTTCTCCAGTACCGCCATCCACATGGCAGACTGTGGGTCGAAGATGTCTAGCCGTACCTCGTCGGCGCATGGCAATCGGTCGTCCCAATCTCTCTTCTCTCCACTGCTCAGCTCAGCCTGAGCTCAGTGCAGCATCCAGAATTATCCGGTGGCATCCGGCACATCTACTACAGGGCCTATAGGGTTTCGCTAACGGCAACCTCCCAGGTAATCATCGCTGCCACCTCCTCGGTGCCTCTTTGCCCATGCCAAACAGTTAAACATCGGCAGCTAGAACCAGGAATGAAAAGCAGCCGGGCCACGGAACAAACATAGCCTTAAGCGAGCATTGCGAACGGAAGCATGCGCCACACCATTCAGCAATGCCATGTTATCTTCTTATGGCAAGTATTTCAGGAATCCTATTGGTATGGTACATAAGCAATAGACACCCAGGACTGCTGCTGCTGCTGCCATCTGCTAGCTGCGGCTGAGAAGCTGGAGAGTCGGTTGCCAGAGTTGCCCAGAACGACACGAGTGTCACACAAACCGAAGAAGATGCCGATGTACTCGGGCCACATCTGGACGCATAGGTGCGATAATGATCAGGACTGTGCCTCTGTGATGCAACATGTGTGGTCAAAACCATCACATCGCCTCTCCATTCCGAGGACTCCGAATGTGTGGACTGTGAGGGCTTTCCCCCTGACAGAAACATCTTGTTCATGTCGCTTGGAAACTGGAGAGCTCTTGATTGGCAGATGCACAGTCACTGTCACACGTGTCACAAATTCGCAAGCTAGGTGCCTTTCGGCTGCAGGTTCTGTGCTTCCGATCGTTTTGTTGCGCGTGCAAGTTCACAGTGGCTGTGAGTTACGAGTGTGAGACAGCTCCAGAAAGAAGGGGTGACATATGGTTACATAGCCAAATCCTAAGTCCGAACCTAAGCCAGACATGAGTGAGACCTGCTCGGCTGATCTATTCCCAGCCAAGCATCTGTTATATAGCTCACCAGCCTGGTCCTGGTAAGCCCTCAGAATCCGAACTACACTGGTCCAAATCAAACTTCCTCAGCCTTCGATCTCCGCAATCAGCTCCATGTTCTTGTCTCGCTCCTCAAGGGTGCGATCCACCAGCTCCAGCAAGGGTTTGTTCAAGGCAACTTCCGTATCAGACATTTCAATCTCACGCTGCGCTTGCTTCCACTCCATCTGCCTGATGATTTCCTTTTGGTTTGCCAAGCTGCGTTCCTTGCGATCGACTATCTTCTTCTTCTCCACTGCATTAAACTCTTGTGTGTCACGGTCCATGATTTGGGCCTGGATTGCGGTCAAGTACTTATCGTCGTCTTTGCGGCCGTCCTTTTCTTGCATCTGCTTCAACAGGTAGGCCTGGTTCTCAAGCTTCATCTGCTTCAGCCTCTGCTGCTTGATGGACTCGGCCTCAAAGTAGTGACGGTCAGCTTCGTCTTGCTGTGCGCGTGCACGGGCCTCATCTGTGTCACCTGACTCCTGCTTCATCGTGTTCACATTGTCCTGAAGCTTCTTCATAAGATCTGCCTGTCGAGCCATGCGATCATGAAGCTCCTTGGCCTTGGCTTCTTCTTGTTCATCCAGAAGACGATTGTACTCCTTGATGGTTGCCGCTTCCTTATCCTTTGCCTCCTTGGCAGCCTCGTCCCGCTTCATCTGATCTTGCTTGTTTTGCTCGAAGACCTTGCGCATGGCTCGCTTGGTCTGCTCTTTCTTCTTCTCGAAACGTTTTTGGTCTGCCTCCATCTCGTTGACGATCTTTTCCACCAGCTGTGCCTCCTCGTCCTTCTTTCGCTGCTCTTCTTGGTCCTTGAGCAGTCTTTCGTACCGGAGCTGCTCGTCTCGGTCCTCTTTCTCCTTCTGGATTCGATTGTGCCTCTCTTCTTCCCTCTCCTTCTCCTGCTGCTTCCAGCGTGCAAGCTCGAGCACTGTGTTCTCATGATGCTTCTTCTCCTCCTCGAGGGCCTCGTCCCTTCTCTTGAGCTTGTCCTGCACCTGGGCATCGAGGTCTAGCTTCATCTTCCTTTGCAGGGCTTGCACGCCCAACTTCTGACGCAGCGCATCTTGCTCATGAAGGTAAGAAGCATACTCATCCAGCTTTGACCAGTCGTGCTTTCGCTTCGGTGCAATCAAGTGCTTCCCAACCAAGGAAGTGGCGCTTCGGCTTCGTTGGCTCAAACCAGTCAAGCCTGTGTATTGGCTCACGCCGCTGATGGCCTTCGAGACCGTGGAAGCGTCATCAAGTGCCCGTCCTTGGGCCCGGCTTTGGATACGACGTTCCAAGCGATCCAGATTGCTGTTTGTGATGGGTGCCTTTCGTGCAAAGTTCTCCACTTCCTTCCGGATCATAGCTGAATTCACGGAAACTTCATCAGCTTCCTTGCACGCACCGTGCCCGAAACGATTCTTGAACTTTTCGGTCAACTGGTCCTTCAAATCTTCTCTCTTCTTCAAGTCCATGAGTTTCGCTCTGCGCGCCTCGGACAACTTGCTGTTCACTTCAAAGTCGGAGGCATCGATTCTCTCAGCTGGCATTGCCATGGCTCTGCGCTGAGACTGGAGGCGAAACGCACCTCCTAAGCCTTAAGAGCAGAAGTGCTGCCAGCATTGCGCAACAAAGACGCTCTGCATGCTGTGAAGTGAAACCAACAGGCACATTGAAGTCAGGGTGGCAGTGGTCGCTGATCTTGTACGCTTTTCCGTGCTTTTCCGTGATGCCGAAACTCTGCGTCTGAGGTACAGTCCAGTACGACGCACGCAGAGTCGCACGCCCTCGGCACATGTACACACAAGCCGAGCCGAAGAGTCTGGGGCCCAAGGCATGCTACCAGCTACAGCCTAGGTTGCTGCAACTCAGCAATTGTTCTGCTCGGACATGGCGTGCACTAGTCGCGATGCTTCTTGCATCACAGCAGCCGAAGGACAACAAAACACAAATGTGCAGGGTGGACGGCAGTCGCCGTGATCTTTGCCTGCATGGCAATGGGAGTTTGACGGCGCCGGATTTCGGCGCACAGTCTAGACTCACGCTCAAGGCTTGAAGTCAATAAGGGACTTCTCCTGAGCATGCGGCTTTGGGTTTCTTTTTGCCACCCGCCTAGCTGGCTAAGAGAGACGCACTGCAGGGCATGACACACGATACTGCTTCATCGAGAACTATGGAGGACCCATCTTCCCGTGCTGGCTTCTTTGTCCCAGCTCCGCCCTCCCTCAGAGGCTTCAGACTCCCGGCCACCCAAGTGTCACCCCCGAAACATACAAACCACTGAGAGCATGAAAGTATCTGCAGTATCTACCTGCGGGAAGGAAGGAGGAATCCTCATGCTGTACAGGACAGGAAAGACTCAGTTTAGGGTTTGGGGTAGCTCCAAAAAAGTCAAGAAGTGGTTCTTGGGATGCCTCATTGCGCAGAGCCCAACAAGGTTTCTGAAGCCTTTGCAGGAGCACACGAAGCCACCCAAGGGGGAGGTCTTGGCTATAGCAAGCTGCATCCAATTCGCAATCATTACATCACCACCATCACAATCCCAAACTCTCTGGCACTCAGCCGTTACCTACTGCCCTAGTGGGGGTGTCTCGCTCTCTTTTAACCCCCATGTGGGCAATGTGACCGTTGCAGCCCTTCAAGACGAAGTTTCGTCTCGAGCGGCTAACTTTTCCAAACTAAGTAACTAGCCGAAACTTCCCCAAACTACCTCAGTATGGAAGAGCTCCTGAAGTTTCTTCAGCTCTTTCCGCATGTCCTCCTCGTTGGACTTGAACTCCTCTCACACCGCGGCCGCTGGATGTGCGGCCAGGATTTTACAGGTGCTGGATTGACGGTGAGTGCTTTCGGGCAAAGGAAAACGATGTTTTGGAGGGATGGGAGTTCAGGGCTGTCAAGTCCATTCAGCTTTCAAAACGCTTTGACAAGACCTTCAGAGACCTTCTCTGAAGGCCCTCAACATCTGTAAGCCCCACTCTCCCTCTCTCTGCGTGCAGCTCGCATGTCTGAGGCACCTCAGTCTTTGGCAGTGCGGCGCTGATTTCTTCCTTGATCTCCTTGGGCCACAGTAAAAAGACAATGCGAACTGACATGCTTTCAACCTGCTTGTTCTACTTTCACGCACAGCGACTTTCCTCGGCTTTCTTGTCAAATGCAAAAACCGTGCGGTGCCCGGGAAGCCCCTGTGATGCACTCTCTCCTGACAATTTGCCTTCTCTCCGACTGCACCAACGCCACAGCTCCGAACGTAGTTTTGGGATGTTGGTTCTTTCCACACTTTGCACACGTCCATGGCGACTTAAACGTTTAAGACTTCGGCAGCACCGTATAATACCGTATAGTAGTGGATGCGCCCAAGGCGCCGCCACCTGCTTTGGGTGCTGGGCACGTCGCCTGGCCAGCTGCGCCTCCACGTCCCGGAGCCGGGCTTGAAGCTCCTCGGCTTGAACCCCTTGCTCTTGCATACATGCATACATGCCTTTTACTGAATTTTCTGTGCATTTTTATATATGGTCATATGGCATATGTATGCATGCTCTCTTTCTACGTGTGATATATATATATATATATATAGATGTGTGTGTGTGCGCTATATATGTGTGTGTATATATATATATATTTATATATATTTATATTTATACGTAAATGTCCACAAAGGTCGTGCTGTACCAGCATAGCTTGCCACACGGACTCGTGTCAGTCTCTTCTCAGAGCTCATGCCCAATGCCAGGTCTCTGTCAGTTCGGTCTCCATGTCCTCAAGAGTGTGTCTTTTCTCGGCGACGACCTCAGCTATGCACGATGACGCTTTTCCCAGGCAGGTTTTCACGCTCTCAAGCGAGGCAAGGGACCATTTCATTCTGGCGCGCTGTCTTCTCAAGGGCTTCCTCAATGGGAAACTCTAAGACTTCAGCGCTGACTAATCACATCGGACTCTTCTGCTCAACATTTAGACTTTGGGTTTGGGCTCGTTTGCGCACATTTTCATCAAGGTCTTCGAACCATGATTACGTCCATGTTACCAGTGCATGATCCGCTAACCGTCATTTTCCAGCGGGTCTACGCCCATGTCCGAAGAGAAGCTGCTCTTGCAACGTTGCACGGTCCAAAACCACGATGGGACGTACTTCCCACACCTTCCCACGCTCCACATGCCCGTTCCATCGTGAAATGCATGCTTTTTTCCACACTCAGGCAACAGGAACAAAAAGCTGCTGCCCAAGACCTTGAGTCGCCTAAAGATTGCTCTAGAGTGTGCATTCACAACATGTCACCCTGCTCACCGTGTCCTTGAGTTTCTCCAGGTACGCCTGCCGCTCTTGCAAAGTCTTCTCCACCGTTTCGACTTTCTGCTCAGTTTGCCGGGCAGACTTCATAATCCTTGGAAGGCACGATTGCAGGATTCAAGCACATGTGTTTCATGTGATGCGTGAGGCCCGTCTTTGCGCGACAAGGGGCCCAAGACGCAGTTGTCGGAGCTCTTCTGCAGCAATGTTCTCGGCGCTCATTCTCACAAATATCTCTGCTGAGTCCTGGATGTGAGAGCTCGCGCTGCCCATGCTGCTGAGTGCACATGCTTTGCCGAATGGCTGCTACGAGTATACATGTTCTTGTCTTTTGGAAAGGTGTCCAGGCAGGCTTGCCTTTCAGAGAACATGAGAGAACGCCTGAGCTTCTACTTCGGATCTC